ACCCACCACCACCACCAAAGATAGTACAGAACAAAATGGGCCACTCAGCCAAAAAAGTGTCCGCCGGAAGTCCGCTCTTTGGTTCAGATGGCGCTGCTGTCTGTTTTGAAGCTCTCTTTCGTTTTTCCAGAAGAAGAATGACCTCTCGCCTTTCATTCTAATGTCAAATTAAACGAAGAAAACCATCACCCTTTCCTCCGGAAGAGGTTTTTTGTCAGCGTAACCATTTTAAAAAAGTGTTCTTCCGAAATTTATTCAAAAACTTGCTAGTTTCACATTGATTTTTTAAACTCAAGTAGGATAACTCTGTTCGCAAAAGGTGCGCTTTTGCGAAGAGGGCGCCACCGAATTTTGAGGACACTTTTTTAATTAGCTCAAAGAGAGAAGTGGCCCCTCTTGTTATGTAGACTCTTTGCCACCGCCCCATCTCCGCAAAGTGAATTGTTTGTACAGTACAGTCCTTAGGTCTCTGTGAACTAACAACATTCTTTTAGTGACACCAGGCAGGTTTATTCAATAGACCTACCATCGTTATGGATACCGCTAATAAAATAAGGTGCAAATTTCCATCTTCCATATATATGGAGATAATTGTTTTTGACCATTGTAGTATATGTGAAGCATGCTGACAAAATGAGTTACTTCTCGGATTCAAGCACTATAAAAATAGATACATCACGCTTATAGATGAAGTTTTTACAATTTATAAGTATGAAATAATGAAAGGCATGTTATAGCCAAAGTATATGGCATCAGTAGAAAATCTTCAAATTTGACCCTAGTGTCGATTTTTGGCAAATATCTCCATTTATGGATTGTGAGAAGTAACCCATTTTGTCAGCACGCCTCACTTATTGTCGTCTCAGGTAGTTAACAGTATTCTGATATAGGCTGAATGCTTCTCTACTTTTTACCATATCGATACTTTTTGAGAAGAGTCTTGAATCTGTAGATGGTTTTTGGTTACTTTGGTGTAGTTTGCTCCTTCTTTCTTCATCTCTTCTTCTTTCTATGCATGTTACAGTCTTGTAGAAATACGTCTAGTCTTCAGTGCTTTTTGTGCTGCAAGTGCTGTAAAACTCTTACTAAAACTAAATTAAGTCTGAAATCTGTGTGTATTTTGTCAGTGCAATAGAGACACAGAGATTTCAGGGTATCAGGTGCCATCTAATGCGTTTATTCCAGTAAGCCTTTATTTGCTTGTAATATTTTACATTAATTAGCTTTGGGGTAACGTCTGAAGAATATGAAAATGAAATTTATCTAATTTGTTGTTGTTGTTGAAGACATTAGCACACAGTGTCAAAAGTCTTCAAGTTCTGTTTTGAAAGTGCATAATTTATTTTTGAATATAGGCCTATGAACACATGTGGAATTCTATTTTAGATCACTGAAATATTGCTCAAATTCTGGCCAAATTTTAAATTAGTAAGTATTCCCTGAAGGTGCTGAATATTTTACCTATTATTCTACCGTGAGCTAACAAAACGCCTTTTTTAAAAATTCACAGCTGTTTTAAGAAAAAGAGTTGGTTTTTTTTTTTCAGTGTAACCATTTAAAAATAGTGTTCTTCAGAAATTTGAATTCTAATTTATTCAAAGATCTATCAGTTTCACTTTGATTTTTTCCCATGAGTAGGGTAACTGATCAGGCTTTTGATTTAGCAAATAAAAAAATGTTGATACCAAAATGAAAAAAAAGGCATTTTGTCAGCTGTCAGCGACGGCAGTTTTGAGTATTGTACAGCTGATTTAATGTGTGAGAAACCTGTGCAAGTTTGCCTGTTTGTTTTTTTACTTTTCGTCCGACGCTGCAGCCAAGTTTTCCCATGAATTATTTGGTGATTATTGCCTCTAATTTTATCCTATCACTTCTTGCTGTTGTCTGTTTTAGGCTTGCTGTTGTCTGTTTTAGGCTTGCTGGAGTCGTCATTGTAAGGTTAGGGCTTTTTACCCTGCACACAGAAGATACCTGTGTTTGTGGTCTAGCGGTTAGGCCTTTTGTTATTGCATGCAGGAGACTTGAGTTTGATTCCAGAGTGGGGAGTAGAGACTTTTAATTGAGTATTTGTGAGGCAGCATGGTGGAATCAGGCTCTCGTCAAAATAATCAAAGTGAGCAAACTTGCATTTTTCCACAGGTCTGTGAATTCTTTCCAAATTTTTGTTTTCTGACTCTACACCTTTCATGCCCATTACGAACTCATTTCTGTATGAATTTTTCTGAAAACGTTGGTTAAAGGCACAAAAAATGTAAATTTTCAGCTACCGTAGACTCTTAAGCAAAGGAAATAACTAATCTTTGGCGGCCATTTTCTCACTAATTTTATCTCTGAAAACAGGTGACCCCCACCCCCTTCATTCTCAAATATCTCGACTTGTATTCAAGATAAATGGATATTTTTTTCACACAAATAAAGACAAATGAACAAGCTTTAAGATGATCATGATACAAATAACTCTTCATGCCCAAAAGTTGACGAGAGCCTGATTCCACCACGCTGCCTCACATTTTGGTCTTTCTGCTGCCATGTTGTATCCTTCTCAGTCTGACTTGGCCCTGACAGTAGGTAGGGTGGAAGCCCAGCTCCTAAACGACATTTAAAATTGTGGTGATGGCGGTGTTAAAAGAACGCCTACATTTACAATCATTCACGCAGAAGACCTGAGTTTGGTTCTCGCCTACGAGGAAATTTTATAAAATAATGATGTATGTCTGGCTCTTCATGAGATATAGGTATAGTTTCCCACGCTGCCAGACCTTCTAATTCATCTAATTTATGACGGTAGAAGGGCCGATGTGGCCCTTTTTCTAAATGATCTAACTTGTGTCAGTTGAAGATTCAAGCGACCTGTCTTCTAATTATGTTCTAACTTGTGCCTATATTTAGGCGAAACATTGTCCAACATCGTCAGTGGCCATTGACTAGCATGACACTGTCTTAGTTAGTGGCCAGCCCTTTATTGGAATGAGAGCCCAGGTTGACAGTCTTGTGCCTATTTTTGTCGTTTTAGCCACAATAATTTTTTTCAGTTCTTTTCAGAATTGGACAGTTTTCCGCTCTTGTTTTCAATGATGCAGTTTT